GCAATAGCCTCGAACCAATATTTTTGTTGGGACAAGAGCAAGCGGGCTGTGCGTTCACGGTTTCAGATCTTTGGCGAATCAGGGCATGCATGGGTTACATGTCAGATTCGATGGGCCCACGGCGCCGATTTTTGACAAATCAGACATTTTCGGGGGTACGGCGGAAACGAATCTGCTAATATCCAGTGCAACCATAGTAACATTGATAATCACAGGGTTGAAACATCTTCCTGCGTGTAAAAACACGACAGCACAAGACCAACGGGATAGAAATGATATATACTTTCTCGGGGTATCCAAAGGTCCGTGGACATCACGCTCCGGCTACATATGAATGGAGCGTTATTTCCATGACATCCATGAGAAAATGTTGACATGATGTAATGAAAATGCAAAACGAAGGTGCGTATGTGAACTGTACTCGCCTGGACCAAAAATCGACTTCGGCCGAGAAGGGGGGGGGGGCCCAGGGGGACCCGAGCAAGGGGTCCCAATTTTTGGCCGATGGGGACCCCGACCCGCCCTCGCGACCGCACGAACAGCAGATTTCCCTCCACATATTCGTCGTGGTGTCTGCAGCGACGATGGTGGGGAATCCTCGGCAATGCTCTCCAAACAGCGGTGGCCCGATGCGTGCTTGGGCCTGGCGGTGACCTCCCGCGGACGCTGCGTGAATCTTGCTGTCCGTTGGTGGACCTGGAGGTTATGTCGAGTGTTTTGCTGCCTTCCATCTCCTCCTCCTAACTTGCTGTTCATTTTCGGTTCCAACTGGGAGCCCCGGACTTGTTCAAACGCTGCGACCTCGACGCTTGGGAATCACGCGGTCGTTTCTGTTTTGTTCTCGCAAACCTCCTCACGACGCATGCGATGTTCAAATGTTCAGCACCCCGCGTGCTCGACGTGGCCCCTCAGGCCCGACTCGCCCATTAGGTTGGTTCTACCTGCCCCATCAACCCGCCGGTTGTGCCACGCGTGTGTGTGTGTGTGTGTGTGTGTATGTGTGTGTGTGTGTGCTCTCCTGGTCCTCCTGCTAAATCCCGTGCTCCACCCTTCTCCTTTCCCCTTTCCATCAGTCTTTTCTTCCCTTGCCTTGTTTTTTTCGTTCGCTGCGTTTTTTTTTTTTTTTTTTTTTTTTTTTTTTTTTTTTTTTTTTTTTTCCCAACCATCCTGTGGTGTTGGGTCCTCGTTTTGAAGAGACGTCGCCCCGCGTTCCTTCCTTCCTTCCCCTGCCCCTCCTCCCTCCTCCTCCTCCTCCCACCATCATCATCGTCATCACCCATTTCGGCACACCCCTCACACGTTTCGTGGCCCCATAGGGAGCTCCACCGAAGGTCCCAGTGGGTGTGCCCGCATGCGTCCCGCACACCCATTTCGGCACACCCCTCACACGTTTCGTGGCCCCATAAGGGGCTCCACCGAAGGTCCCAGTGGGTGTGCCCGCATGCGTCCCGCACACACATGTCGGCACACCCCTCACACGTTTCGTGGCCCCATAGGGAGCTCCACCGAAGGTCTCAGTGGGTGTGCCCGCATGCGTCCCGCACACCCATTTCGGCCCACCCCTCACACGTTCGTGGCCCCATAGGGAGCTCCACCGAAGGTCCCAGTGGGTGTGCCCGCATGCGTCCCGCACACCCATTTCGGTACACCCTTCACACGTTTCGTGGCCCCATAGGGAGCTCCACCGAAGGTCCCAGTGGGTGTGCCCGCATGCGTCCCGCACACCCATTTCGGCACACCCCTCACACGATTCGTGGCCCCATAGGGGGCTCCACCGAAGGTCCCAGTGGGTGTGCCCGCATGCGTCCCGCACACCATTTCGGCGCACCCCTCGCACGTTTCGTGGCCCCATAGGGAGCTCCACCGAAGGTCCCAGTGGGTGTGCCCGCATGCGTCCCGCACACCCATTTTGGCACACCCCTCACACGTTTCGTGGCCCCATAGGGAGCTCCACCGAAGGTCCCAGTGGGTGTGCCCGCATGCGTCCCGCGCCCATTTCGGCACCCCCACACCCGCATGCGTCCCGCACATTCCACCCCCACATGCGTCCCGCACACCCATTTTGGCACACCCCTCATACGTTTCGTGGCCCCATAGGGAGCTCCACCGAGGTCCCAGTGGGTGTGCCCGCATGCGTCCCGCACACCCATTTCGGCACATCCCTCACACGTTCCGCGGCCCCATAGGGAGCCCAACCGAAGGTCCCAGTGGGTGTGCCCGCATGCGTCCCGCACACCCATTCCGGCACATCCCTCACACGTTTCGTGGCCCCATAGGGAGCTCCACCGAAGGTCCCCGTGGCGCAGTCCGCTTGCGTCTCCCTCACCCAGTACACCTCCGCCGGAGGCCGTCGGAGTTCCGCGCCTCGCTCGCCCGTCGTCGCTCTGCCCAGCGGCAAGAGCCTTGCCCGCTATCAGCCAGCCAGCTAGCTCTTTTTGCTGCGTGCAGCGGACGACCTGCGCGCGTCGCTGGGACCCCTCCGGGGCGACCTGCGCGCGTCGCTGGGACTCCGCGCTGCGCTGCGCCCGCAGCTTTGGACTTTTGAGTGCGCGGGCAAGAGGGAGTAAAAGAAGGGGAGGAAGCGGGCGCGATCCTCGCGGTGGCGTCGCGGCGCGCGGGCGATGCCGTCGGGGAGCCCCGGGGAAGCTCCTTGCGGCGGCCACGCCCAGCGTCACGAGTACTCAGAGGCAGTCACTCACAAACTATTCGCATTCATATACAATTGCACCATGCATTGGCATACTCGCATTCGTGCACGTAGACTCGCTCGCACGCAGATTCGTTCACAGTCAGACGCAATCGCGCTCAGATTCACCCGCGCTCAGTCTCCCGACGTACTCAGATCAATCGTTTTCGCTCGCGTCGTGTACCACGCCACTCGTTTCGGCACACCCCTAGCACGGTTCGTTGCCTCATAGGGATCACCACCGAAAAGGGAATCACAATTGCGGTACTCACACCTGCATATGGTTGGGTCATTCGTCAGGCTAATTTTTTTTTTTTCGGGGGGGGGGGAAGGGGGGATCTCTCCATCGGCGACACGCCAGGGTGACCCCAGGCAAGACTTCCCTTTGCCTTCAAGCGCGCGGCTGTAAAGAAACGGGGGGGGTGCCAAACCCGAGAGCGCAAGTCTCCGCTCTCGCACCGCGTTCATTCAGCGATCGAGTGGTTCCGCATCGAAGGTCGCTCTGGCGAAAGGTTCGGGGAACCAATCATGAACTTTGGGAGGTCCGCGCGGACTTCTTGGATCGGTGCTGGACGAACTTCAGCGGCGAGCCCAGGGGAGAACGCAGAGGGGGCGGACCTTCTCAGAAAACTCTGAAAAATCTGGACTTCCGAGATCGGGGACGCACTGACCCGGGTCAATCGGGCTTTGCAGAATCTTGCGAAATTCTGCATGATCCTGCAAAATCGTGCAGGATTCTGCACGCAAGCCCGGGTCAATGCACCCCTGGCTCCGCAAGATCCTGCAAGATCCGGTGCTCTGGCTGACCCCCGTTTGCATTGACCTCCGTCTCTCGAGCCCCGATGGGAAATTTTGTAAGCCTTCCCCGGAGGCACAAAAAACTTCCCAGAAGGCCGGATGGCTTATGTGAAGCCCCGCCGCCGTCTAAGAAGGCCTGCCCCCTCTCACTTGCCCCCTGGGCGCAGCGCCGAGCATTTAGAGGATCTCAAGAAGCATAAACATAAACTGAACATGAACTTTCGGGGCTCCGCGCGGATTTCTCGGATCGGCGCTGGCACCGACCCTGGCGCGTTACGCGCCAGGAGGCGGGGACCAACGCCGATTTGAGAAATCCGCGCGGACCGTCAACAGTTCATGTTTATGCAGTTTCTCCTTCGAGGCACGGTGCGATTGGCTCAGGACGCATTCCAAGAATTCTGAAATATCAAGCGGCCATCGTTTCTGCAGGCCGTGGAGACCATCAGGGAATCTAGGAAGCCCCCGAGATCTTGGAACGAGCCACGATCACGACCTCTTGCTCCTCTGACTCACTGCTCGTGCCACTCCGGGAGCTTGGACCGCACGACGCGACGCTCGTCTCCCTCGCCAGACCTCACGGGGCGGCCTGGCGAACGCAACGCTCCCCAACGCGTACAATGCTGCAAGGCCCGAAAGGAAGGGGCCCTAAAGTTAGGTCGGGCCGTCCCCCTAAAGGGGGATTTTGCACGAACAATAAAAGATACGAAACAAATGCTCAAGAAGACTCTCTGGGACTATTTTTGGACTATTGTTGGATATTCCCCCTGTAGAGGGACAGACCCGATTCAGCCTTAACGTGCCCACTTTTTCGGCGTGGTCCCGAAGTGCCCACGAGGGAGCACTCGTTGCGGCCTTCCCATCGAGGGACGGCACAGGCTGGAGAGAGGAGCGGACTGCAAGCCCCTATCGGAGTCCCCAGAGACCTCTATAGAGGCCCCGGGCGAGCAACAAGAAGACAGAACAGGCTCAAAACCATTCCTCCTCCTCCTCCTCTTCCTCCTCCTCCTCCTCTTCCTCCTCCTCCTCCTCCTACCACCCTCGCCCCACCTTCTAGGAGGAGTGGGGCGGAGGACGTGGGATGGTCAGCACGGCGATGGAACGTCCACAGGCTTCCCTCGATGGCGGATCGATCGGGGCTCCTGCGCAACTCTATCGATCGGGTCGAGGAGGGTGAGGGTGAGGGGCGGGAGGAGGGAGGCATGTAGGGGTGGGCGGGCAGGAAAGAAGAGGTAGGGGAGGGAAGATGGAGGGAGGAGAGGAAGAGAAGGATGATGAGAAGGGGGGGGAAGGACATGAAGGGAGTGGCGGCACAGGAATGAGGAGGAGCAGGATGAACAGGATACGCAGGAGGAGGGGGATCACGGGGAGAAAACTGCGGCAGGGCGGGATGCAGCGGAGAAGGTCCTCACCTGCGACACTTTTCTGCATGCGCGGCTGCGCCCGCACGGTGGACCATCGCTGCCAGTCTGCGGAGCGATGCCCGCCGGCTCGGGTAGCCTGGACGCGCGCGACGCGCTCAAGGCAACGGGCAGGAACTGCGACGACCCACCCACTCTTCATCCGCGTCGTCGCCGTCCCTGTCGTTCTCGGTCTTCTTCTCCCCACCGCCGGCCGCCTCGATCGGCCTGCGTTTATGTCGGGCGGGTCCCCCGACAGGGGGACTGTCGACGAAAAATAACAAGTACCCCCAAAATACCCCCCAAAGGTAAAAACATACTCGACAGAGAATCCCCAGACGAATTTTGGATCATTTTTGGGGTACTCTTTATGTTTCGTCGAAAATATCCCCCTGTCGGGGGACGGGCCCGACTTCAGCCTGCGTGCTCCGAACAGCTGCTGGAACCTGTGGTGCAGCCTCTCCGTCGTGTCCTGCGGCGACCGGGTGCTGACGCCCAGACGCGTGCCGCGCTCCCTCCTCGCGGTGCGGGCCCACGCCGTCCTCCGGGGGCGTCCACAGGAGCGGGGGGGCGTCCACAGAGCGGGGGCTCGCAGAGCATGGCCGGAGGCGTGTGCGGGGACGGCGCATTGACAGAAGAAGGAGAAGAAGAAGAAGAAGAAGAAGAAGAAGAAGAAGAAGAAGAGGAAGAAGAAGAAGAAGAAGAAGAAGAAGAAGGGGCCACGACATCCAGGGGGATGTCATGTCCCCAGCCATGATGACCACCTCCTCCCGACTCAGCGCCCCCCGCCTTGGACGCTCCCGAATCCTCGGCCCCCTCTTCGGCGACACTGGGTAGCCGGCCAGCTTGTCCTCCTTTCGGGGGGACGTAAGACTCGGGTACGGGGAACTCGGGTTGGCCTGACGCGGCCATCATTAACAACGACGAGACGACGTGTGAAATTTGACGCGACCTCCCGCTGCAGACAACCCACGAAAACCGGACCGTCACAATCCAGGACGCGCTCGTCGAGAAACGTTGGCTTACTCGAGTCTTACGTCTCCCCGAGCCTTCGTGACAGAGATGCACAGGTTGGCAGACGCCGTCTTCGCGCGCCCCTGCGAGCTCTGCTTCTCCGCCTCGCCGCCGCACCTGTGCGCATGCCCCTCGCTTCGCGCGCGCTGTGGCGAGCTCGAGGAGGGCTCGCCGGGGGACACCACCCGCCCCGACGAAGATGAGGGGCTGCCCGAGGCCCCCGAGGGAATCGTAGTCCTCTGCGACGACCTCAGAGGCCTCCTAGACGGGGTCCGAGGTCCGAGCAGATGGGGTCGGAGGGTCTCGCCGCATCGCCGATACATCGGCGATGTATCGGCGATGTGTCGGTGATGCACCGGCGATGCACCGTCGACGTCGGTGATGCATCGGCGACGTCAACGGGAAGCAAATCGGGCCCCACATCGAGCCGCATCGGCGGTGCATCGGCGATGCGGCGCGAGCCTCCGACCCCATCTACTCCGACCCCATGTAGGAGGCCTCGAGACCTCGTCTGCCGCCGACCGCTGGCGACGAGGCTGCGGCTCCGGGGGACGCTGGCCTCGGTGCCGACGCTTCTGCTGCCGCGGCCCTCCGCGCGAACCAGGGGGCCGGCTTGCGAGTGCACCGGCTGCTCCTGGCAGCGCCACGCAGGCCTCGAGTTAGGTCGGGCATGCCCTCCCACAGGCGGATTTTGGAAGAAGACTGACAAAGAGTCAGCGCATATTCAAACGTGGTCAAACATACTCGAAACATCGTCCCCAGAGCCTCTGAATATTTTTTTGGTTATCTTCAAACATGTGTTCCCCCCTGTGGAGGGACATGCTCGACTCAAGCCTCGAGCCGCTGCCCGCAGGGCCCAGGTGGACCGCCGCGAGGGTGGCCGCCAGCTGCTCGACCTGGGCCGCGAGGCGCTGCAGCCGCGCCAGGTCGAAGGTGCTCGCGTCTGCCTGCTGAGCATCCTTTCACCGATCCCCACTGGCCGATGATGATGACGACGATGATGATGATGATGCTGATGATGACGATAATGCTGATGATGATGACGATGATGATGATGACGATGATGATGATGATGATGATGATGATGACGATGATGATGCCGACGATGATGATGACGATGATGATGACGACGATGATGACGATGACGATGACGATGACGATGACGATGACGATGACGATGACGATGACGATGACGATGATGATGATGATGATGATGATGATGATGATGATGATGATGATGATGATGATGATGATGCCAGTGCTCCTTTCACGGGCGTGGCGGGGCCCCACTGGCCGACTTGCTCCCCAAGACTGGGGGTATATGGGCTGCTCCTTTCGGATCTCGAAAGGCACGCCCACAACAGGGGTGGTGGGATGGTGGGGATCAGGATGGGGAAGGGCACAGGGACCGGTTGAACGATACTGGAGGCCTCCTAGATGGGGTCCGAGTCGATGGGGTCGGGCAGTCGCGCCGCATCGCCGACACACCAGCGATGCATCGGCGATGCATCGGCGATGCACTGGCGATGTCGGTGACACATCGGCGCCGTCGGCGTGAAGAGAATCGGGGCCCACATCGAGCAGCATCGTCGACGCATCGCCGATGCGGCGTGATCCTCCGACCCCATCTACTCCGACCCCATCTAGGAGGCCCGGACAACAGGGATGGTGGGATGGTGGGGATCAGGATGGGGACGGGGATAGTAGAAGAAGAAGAATAATAATAAGCGTAATAAGAAGAATAACAAACGCCATGACCATAACTTTTGGCGCTCCGCGCGGATTTCTTGGATCCGCGCTGCACCCCCTCCCTGCTGCGCGGAGCTGGCGCCACCGGGGGGGCTACGGCGCGGATCCAAGAAATCCGCGCGGAGCGCAAAAAGGTTATTCCCCCCATCCTAAGTGGGTTTCTTGTTTTCTCTGCACCCCGCCCGCGCAGGATCTCTCCTCCTCCCTCGCTGCCTCACCACTCCCTCACACACTCACACGCTCACATCATCACCACCACCACATCATCATCACTTAGACTCTCAATCATAACCCCTCGATCGCTCTCATTCACTCATAACTTACTCACTATCCCACTCGCTCACTCAGTGTCCTGACTGGCTCACTCACTCACTCACTCATAGCTACCACTGAGTGAATTGCGAGGAAGTCTCAGGCGGGGGCCGCCTCTATGGAGTCCGCAGATCATGTTACTAATCCGAGCGGGTCATCGGGATCCTGTAACTGTCGTCGCTTTTGGCTTCCTCAGGCGTGAATAGGGAAGTCTCGAGCGGGAGCCTCGTCTGTGAGTGACTCCCACCAGCCCTTTAGGGCGTAAGTGGCCTAGAGAGTTTCCTCTTCCAACACCCTTCTTCCCCTTTGGGGAGGGGTTCATCACTGTTCACTATTAATAAACACCCCCCTCACCGGGCCGGCAGCCAACCCAGGACCATGCGCACACCATGAGGGCCCCCCCCATCATCCCGATCGAAAAACAATACAAAACACACTCTGCCTCCACATCGGAGCATCTGGGCGCTCTTGGGCCCGGTCGGCTGGATTTTCCAGAGGCCAGAGGGCCCCAAGACGAGCCAAGATGGCCCCAAGAAGCGCCCAAGAGGGCCCAAGAGGCCTCCAAGACGGCCCAAGAGCAAGACGCCCAAGATGGCCCCAAGACGGCCCAAGAGGCCTCCAAGAGGCCCCAATAGCGCTCCAAAAGGCCTGCCAAGAGGGCTCGAAGAGGCAGAAATCATTGATTATCATAATGTTTTTCGAATGTTTTTGGGGCTCTCGCCCTTTCGTATGTCCGACGCTCCAAAATGGACCACGAGGCCCAACAGACCGCCCCAAGAGGCCCCCAAGAAGGTCCCAAGACGGTCCAAGAGGGCCCCCAAACGGCCCAAGAGGCGCCCAAGATCGCACAAGAGGGCCCCAAGACGGCCCTAAGAAGGTCCCAAGAGGGGGAATACGAACGGAGAGTTCGAGCTTTCCGCCTCAAGAGACCCCCAGGAGGCCCCAAGAGGCCCCCAAGAGGTCATCCGGAGGCCCCACGAGGCCCCCAAGAGGTTCAAAAAGAGGCCCCACGAGGCCCCCAACGAGGCTTCAAAAGTGCCTCCGAGAGGCCCCCGAGAGGCCTCGCACGGTATCCCAACGAATATCCAAGAGGCCTCTAACCAACACCCCAAGCACGGTGGCGAGATGGGCCGAAAGCCACTAGACCTGGGGCCGGCACGGAAACGGAAAGAGCGCTGCAGCAACCTGCCCATGATGGCTCATGGCACCCTTCGCTCTTGGGAACTTTGGTGGTAAGAATTTGTGACGTCACCGCTCGCTCTTGGGAGCCTTGGTGTTCCGAGACTTTTACGTTGCTGCTCGCTCTTGGGAACCTGGGTGTAGAGAAATGTGTACGTCACCGTTCGCTCTTGGGTTCCTTGGTGTGCACGAGTTTGTCACGTCACCATCATCATGATCATCTCCAGCATTACCATCATCGTCGCTCTTTTGGGTCTCTTAAGAACCTCTTCGGGCCTCTTGGGGGCCTCTGGGGGACCTCTGCAGGCATCTTGGGGGCGTCGTGGGGCCTCCTGGGAACTTCTTGGGGCGGGCCTGATGGAGCCAATGTCGAAGTCTCTGATGGGCCGTTTTGGAACCTCTTGTGGGCCTCTTGGGAGCCTCTTGGGGTCTCTTGGGGGCCTCTTGGGGGCCTTGGTGTTCAGAGATTGTTACGTTGCCGCCCGTTCCTGAGCCTTGGCTGGGCCTTGGTGTCACTTGTGGGCCGTTCGAGGGCCTCTTTCGGGGCTCTTGGGGGCCTCTTGGGATATCCTGGAGGCCTCTTGGGGGCCTCTTGGGGGCCTCTTGGGGCTTCTTGGGGGGCTCCTGGGGCCTCCTGGGAGCTTCTTGGGGCGAAAGGCTAGACGCTTCGGTTCGTGGTCCCCCTCTTGCGGCCGTCTTGGGGCCCTCTTGGGCCGTCTTGGGCGCCTCTTGGGCCGTCTTGGGGCCCTCTTGGGCCGTTTTGGCGGCCTCTTGGGAGCCTCTTGGGCCTTCTTGGGGCGAACTTGGGGGCCTCTCGGACCGTCTTCAACGCCGTGAAAGCCGACAAGCCGTGTATGCAAAAAATGCACGTTGTCCGGTAAAATGATTTTGGCCGCCTTGGGGCCTCCCGGGACGCCTCTTGGGAGCCTCTTGGGGCTTCTTGAGGGGCTCTTGGGGCCTCCTAGGGGCTTCTTGGGGCGAAAAGCTAGACTTTTCGGTTCGTGGTCCCCCTCTTGGGGCCGTCTTGGGGCCGTCTTGGGGCCCTCTTGGGCCGTCTTGGGCGCCTCTGGGGCCGTCTTGGGGCGGTCCTGGGGGCCTCTTGGGCCGTCAACGCCGTGAAAGCCGACAAGCCGCATATAATGAAAATGTACGTTTTCCTGTCGGAATTCATGATTTTGGCCTCTTGGGGCCCTCTTGGGACGCCTCTTGGGGCTTCTTGGGGGGCTCTTGGGGCCTCCTGGGAGGTTCTTGGGGCGAAAGGCTAGACTTTTCAATTCGTGGTCCCCCTCCAGGGGCCGTCTTGGGGCCCTCTTGGGCCGTCTTGGGCGCCTCTTGGGCCGTCTTGGGGCCCTCTTGGGCCGTTCTGGGGGCCTCCTGGGAGCCTCTTGGGCTGTCTTGGGGCGAACTTGGGGGCCCTTTGGACCGCCTTCAACGCCGTGGAAGCCGAAAAACTGTATGTGCTACACATGTGCGTTTCCATAAGGAATCAATGATTTTGGCCTCTTGGGGGCCTCTTGGGGCGCCTCTTGGGCGCCTCTCGGGGCGTCTCGGAAGCCTCTTGGGCCGTCTTTGGGCCGTCTTGGGCATGTTGGACCGTCTTGGAGCCGTCTTGGACCCCTCTTGGACCGTCTTGAGCGCTCAAGACGGCCCAAGAAGTGCCCAAGAGGCCTCCAAGACGCCCCGAGCGGCCATTAGGTCCCATCCTTCCGCCCCTCCCCCCTTCTGCACTCCCCCTAGAGGGCTTCGCCAAACGTCATCACTCGTACCTCGCTCTTTCCGTTACCTGGGCCGGCACGGGAACGGAATGAGCGCTTCAGCAATCTGCCCGAGATAGCTCATGGCATCCTTCGCTCTTGGGAGCCTTGCTGGTAAGAGCTTGTTGCGTCACCGCTCGCTCTTGGGAGTCTTGCTGGTAAGCGCGTGCTATGTTACCGCTCTCGCTAGGGAACCTTGCTCCTCCTCTTCCTCCTCCTCCCTCTTTCCTCCTCCTCTTCCTCCCTTTCCTCCTCCTCCTCCTCCTCCTCCTCCTCCTCCTCTTCCATCGTCCTCCTTCCGTTCCTTCTCCTCCTCCTCCTCTTCCTCCTTCTCCTCTTCCTCTTCCTTCTCCTTCTCCTCCTCCTCCTCCTCCTCCTCCTCCCTCCTCCTCCTGACTCCTCCTCCTCTTCCTCGTCCTCTTCCTCCTCCTCCTCCTCCTCCTTTTCCTCCTCCTCCTCCTCCTCCTCTTTCTCCTCCTCCTCCTCCTCCTCCTCTGGTCCTTTGGTCCGGTGTTACTTAAGTGTTGGGAGGGCGGGTGGGAGTGAGCTACACGGCTTGCTCCTTGTAGGTATCTTGATCACTGTTCCCTATTAATATACACCCCCTCCCCCAGGCCACTGGGAGCCAACCCGAGCCAATGAGGGCCCCCTCCACCATCCCTAGTAAAACACAAAACAAAACACACTCTGCCTCCAAATTCGGCGCATGAGCAGCGAACCCGATGCGGCCTCCCCCTGCCATCCCTGTCAAAAAACAATGCAGAATACACTTGGCGGCGGCGGCGGCGGCTGCGGCGGGGGCAGCGGCTGCGGCGGCTGCGGCGGTGGCGGCGGCGGTGGCGGCGGCGGCGGCGGGGGTGGCGGCGGCGGCGGCGGTGGCGGCGGCGGTGGCGGCAGCGGTGGCGGCAGCGGCTGCGGCGGCAGCGGCTGCGGCGATTCGGCAGCGGGGGCGGCGGCGGCGGCGGGCGGCGGGCGGCGCGGTGGCGGCGGCGGACAGCGGTGGCGGCAGCGGCGGCGCGGCGGCGGCGGCGGGCGGCGGCGGCGGCGGCGGAGGCGGTGGCGGCGGGGGCGGCGGATTCGCCCCCAGTAGCTGCCCATCCAAAGACGACTGCTGAATATGCTGCGGCTCGGGCCAGGCACGGGTGCTGCGTATGTGTTGGGAGGGCGGGTGGGAGTGAGCGAGACGGCTTGCGGGCGGGGAGGGAGTCTTGACCCCTCCCCCTGCCCCCTCCCCTGGACCTGGTCGAGGGGTTCCGCGGGTAGTTGGAGCGTCCAAAACGGCCTTGGCGAGGAAGCCAAAATCATTTGTTTTACTGAAGTTTTGGCCCCATGTTGGCCTCTTGGAGGGGGCCACAATGGGGCCCAAACCTTAGTAAAACCAATGATTTTGGCGCCTTCTTTGATCGATCTCCTCCGAGATGGCCCCAAGAGCGGTTCCAGGGCTCCCAAGGGTGCCCCAAGAGGATCCCAGGAGGTGGCCAGGAGGCCCCAAGAGGCCCCAGGATGCCCCCAAGAGGCTCCCAAGGGACCCCCAAGAGGCCTCAAGATGCCCCCCAGAGGCACCCAAGACGCTCCAAGAGGCCTCCGCGATAATGCCACAATCGCTGATTTTACTTAGGTTTTGGCCACATTTTGGTCTCCTGGGGGGGGCACATATTAAGATGACTCCAAGAGCGCCTGGGAGAGCCCAAGATGACCTCCAAGATGGCTCAAGATATCCCGAGATGCCTCAAGATGGCTCCCATGATGCTCCAAGAGGTCCCAAGACCGCTCCAAGACGGCTCCAAGTGGCCAAAGAGCTCCCCCAAGTGGCCCCGAAGAGGCCAACATCCTTGGAGTTTTTGGCTTTCTCGCCTTTTCGCTTCCGGTGGCCATCCGAGGCCTCAAGATGGCTCCAAGATGGCCCAAGGGGGCTCCAAGAGAGGCTCAAGAGAGCCCCAAGACGGCCCCAAGAGCGCCCAAGAACGCTCCAAGAGCGCCTCAAGAGGCGACTTTTGGATTCCCGTGGGGCAGCGCTAAATTAATGCTCCCCTCTTGTTTGATCAATGTCCTCCAAGATGGCCCCAAGAGCGCTCCCAGGGCTCCCAAGAGCGCTTCAAGATGGCCAAAGAGGCGCCAAGGAGGCCCCAACAGGCGCCCAGGAGGCCTCCAAGAGGCTCCCAAGAGACCCCCAAGAGGCCCCAAGAAGCTCTCCGAGGCACCCAAGACGCTCTAACATGCGTCCGGGCCCGCCAAGAAGCCCAAGACGCTCCAAGAGGCCTCCACTGGGGGACCTTTCCTCTGTGTGCTGCCCACTTCCCTGATCGAGGCAATTCCTCTGGGCATCGTTTCTGGATGGGCTGGTGGGGTTACTTTTTTCGGTCGCGGCCGCGAGACGACGGTCAGGCGGCGAAAGCAACTGGTGGGGTTACGCGAAACGTCTAGAATTGAGAGGAAATCTCAGGCGGGAGCCCCCTCCCTATCAGGCCCGAAGATCATGTTGCTAATCCAAGCGGGCCATCAGGATCCTGTAACTGTCGTCACTTTTGGTCTCCTCAGGCGTGAACATGGGGGAAATCTCGAGCGGGAGTCTCTTCTGTGAGTGAAGTGTGGGGAAGTCTCAGGCGGGAGCTCCCTCCCTATGGGACCCGCAGATCATCTTACTAATCCGAACGGGTCATCGGGATCCTGTAACTGTCGTCACTTTTGGCCTCCTCACGCTTGAATGTGAAGGAAATATCAAGCGGGAGCCTCATCCGTGAGTGTGATTTGTGAGGAAGTCTCAGGAAGGAGCCCCATCCCCATGGGGCTTGCGTTTCATGTTGGTAATCCGAGCGGGCCATCGCGATCCTGTAAGTCTCGTTTTCTTTTTGGCCTCCCCAGGCCTGGGAACCTCGTCTGTGAGTGAATCCCACCAGCCCTCTGGGCGTAGGTGGTTTAGGGGGGCTACTCTTCCAACCCCCTTCTTCCCCTTCGGGGAGGGGCTTACCCCTCCCCCTTTCCCCCTCCCCTAGACGGGCAGTGCTGCGACCCATTGGAGCGTCCAAAACGGCCTCGGCGAGGAAGCCAACATCATTGGTTTTACGAATGTTTTGGCTCCATGTTGGCCCTTGGGGGGGCAAGCCTAAAAGAAACCGCCCTCTTCTTTGATCGATCTCCTCCAACATGGCCCAAAGAGGCGCCCATGAGGCCCCAAGCGGTCCCAAGATGGCCTCAACATGGCCCCAAGAGGCCCCCCCAAAGCCCCCAAGAGGCCCACGAAAGGCCCCCGAAAGGACCGCAAGCGGCCCCAAGAAGCCCCCCCGAGGCACCCAAAACGCCCGAGAACCCCCAGGACCGCCAACAGACCCCCAAAACGTCACAAGAAGCCACCAAGAAACGCCGAAGAGATACCCCAAGAGTCTCTGAGAGGCATCAAAGAGACCTCTGGCCCTTTTGCTTGCCGTCCTCCTCCTGCTGATCCTTCCTCCTCCTACTCCTTTTCTTCTTCTTCTTCTTCTTCCTCTTCCTCCTCCTCCTCCTCCTCTTCCTCCTCCTCCTCCTCCTCCTCCTCCTCCTCCTCCTCCTCCTCCTATTCATCCTCCTTCTCCCAAGTCCCTGTCCACGGCACGGTTCGGCCGTCCCCCTCTTTGCTCCCGCATTTCCCCGATCACCTCAATTCGCGGGAGCCCCCTCCTATGGGGCCCGCATTTCATGTAGGCAATTTGAACGGGTCATCGGAAACCTGTAACTGTCATCACTTGTGGCTTCCGCAAGCGTGAATATGGAGGAAGTCTCGAGCGTGAACCTCGTCTGCTCAGCGGGGTCATGCGAATCCCGTAAGTGCCGTCACTTTTGGGTTCCTCGGCTCACGCGGAGTGCGAGAAGTGCGCGCCGGGCCAGCTCTTTCGCCCCCGCTACCTACTGCAGGGAATCTGGCAGCAGGTGCGCGGCTTCAAGGAGTTCCCGATCTACCAGGAGGTCGCCGACCTGCTGCGACAGGGCGCCGACAGCGCCGACGACGACGGCGAGGCCGAGGCGCGGGCGAGGAGCTTGCTCATGTTCAATCCAGAGAGCAAGAGCTCGCGTTGCAGAGTTGGGGGCCGCACGTCGTGCGCCGCTCGGGGTTCACCCTGACGCACGCGTCCTACCTCACCTCCACGCTGTCGCAGGGCCAGACGCTGTGCAAGGGCCTCACCATCGACCATCGACTGCGCGAGGGACGAGGACGCTGGCCGCACGGGCGTGTCGGACGAGCAGTGGTGGCTGCGCATCTACGTCATGTTCTCCTGCGCCACGTGCGTGCGGAACACGCTGATCCTGCGGTCGCCCTCGCGCGTGTTTCTGGAGCGCGGGCCGCTGGTGTCCATGCGGAATGCGGTGAAGAAGTTCAATGAAAAAACGAAAACCTCCAGGGGTGAAGCGAAGCAGCTCGCAGCACGGCTGGGCTTCGCGCTGCCCCCCGCCTGAGTGCGGCCGCGCCTACCTCGAGGCCTGCGGGCACTGCGGGGTTGTCCCAACGGCCTGGCCCGAGGGGTTGCCCCGACGGCCTGCCCACGCGCCCCAGCGGCCTGCGGGGTTGTCCCAAAGGCATGACCCGCGGGGTTGCCCCAAAGGCTTCGTGACCCAGTCAGTCATCGGCGAACGCGCGTGCGCGCTGGCCGAGGCAGCGGCGGCGCCGAGGGAAATCGATTTGCTTGCCCCAACCACGGGGACGGGGAGGTGCACATGGAAAAGAGGCAGGAGGACGAGGAAGGGGGAAGGGGTAGTGGGAGGGCGATGATGAGGAGGAGGTGGAGAAGGAGGAAGATGAGGAGGAGGGGGGTAGAAGGATGAGAAAGAGAAGGCAGAGCAGAGGGCGAGAGGAGGGTGTGCGCCAGGACGAGAAGGACAGGGCCACAGACTCCCATGCGGGGTCCCACCGTCGGGGTAATGCTTCTGGCGTCTTGTCTCCTTCGAGGGATCGGGATCGTTCGAACGATACCGACCTGTGCCGCCTCTTCGGCGGGCACGGCCTGCACCCGCTGCGGGAGCGGCCCTGGCAGAAGCGGCTGCCGCCCCGCCGACGGCGAGGGGCGCGGCGGCGCTCCGGGCAGCAGCGCGGGCCAGGCCCGCGGGTCCCCCGAGAGCGGGGCCCCCTGCCAGGGCGGCAGTGCGCCCTGGTGCGGCGCCGCCTGCCCCGTCCTCCTTTTCCTCCTCCTCTTCCTCCTTCTCCTCCTCCTCCTCCTCCTCCTCCTCCTCCTTCTCCCCACCGCCTCCGCCTCCGCCTCCGCCTCCTCGTCCTCCTCGTCCTCCTCCTCCTCCTCCTCCTCCTCCTCCTCCTCCTCCTTCTCCTCCTCCTCCTCCTCCTCCTCCTATTCCTCCTCGTCCTCCTCCTCGCCAGAGGGGTGGCGCCTGCCAATGGGGTGGTGGCCCGTGCCACAGCGGCAGGCCCCCCGGGGGCAGCGCCGCCTGCAGCGGCATCGGCGCTGGGACGGGCGCCGTCTGCCACTGCAGGGAGCCCCCGAGGAGAGGCGTCGCCTGCCACCGCGGGGGCGCTAGAGGCGGAGGCGCCGCCGATAGCAGCGGCGCTGCAGGCGACTGGCCCTGTCGGAGGCACGAAACTACAGTCAAAGTCTATATTAAGGACGCGTGGTAAGGACGCGAGACCCTTGGAAACCGAAGTTGGGATATTTTGGGCGGCAGGCGGCCGCGACCCCAGAGACGCAGAGGCAGAGGCAGAGGCACGCGTCCTTACTATTGTGGGTCTTGACTGTACGTGAGCACATGCAAAGCTACGAGGACGAACTTTTTGGGTGACTGCTATAGTCAAGCTGGACACTGTCAACAACGGCTGCGCTGTTACATGCCACCCCCTGCCACGGCCTGAATATTGGGTGTTCGGTCCGATCGGACTCGTCGAACTCTCGTCCGGGATTGGAAGGGTCTGCCTCAAACGAGTGGTCTGGTAATACTTCGGACGAGCCCATCCCGCAACGATATCCAAAACGACGTTAAACCCTCTACCGGAAGTCGTATTTGGGACTGTGTCTGCGCAGTGCTTCAAAGCAAGAGCCTGAAGGACCATCTCGTACAACATGCGTCCCTTCTCGCCGCTGACCTCAGTCCAACGGGGGGAGCCGGGGGAGCGATGATGGGGGTAATTCGGATAGAGAGGAGGGCGGAGGTGGTGACTAGAAAATACAGGCAAAGTAGGGTGGGACGACCATGGACATGCCAGTGTGATACATGCGATCGTCGCCCACCCCTTTGTTCCTTTCTTTTGGTACCATCGAAACAAATACTTTTGAATGGCGCAGTCGAGCCAATCTCAAACATTGGCGATGTTCGAATGTTGTTTGCGCACGTGTGCGCGAACCCGTCCCGCCAATGTGCGCCACCACGCCATGGGGACTGAATGGAACGTCCTCAAGTCCCTCCGAATTCTTGGTGTTGTGTTGAGTACTCTGGGTAAGTGCTCTTTACGGAGCCCAGGCCCCCAACTCACGAATCAATTTGAGCTTATCACATGGCTTCAGGGGTGTACTGCACGACTTTTCCAGAAATCAAATCGTTGAACACATTGTGCTTGTCCAGGTTGCACCAGCCCCAGACCGGGGAATTCGACATTGGCACCCCGAACACTCTTGTGCCAACACAGCCCCAGACGCCCAAGATGACTCATGAGGCCCAGAGGAGGCTCTGTTCTACTGGTGCAGGGGGGGAGGTGGGCGATGGTGTTTGGGGGCCCCTCGGTGCAGCCCCTTCGATCATGGATTGGTGGGAGCCAAGAAAGAGCCACTGGCCCAGAGGCCCCCAGCATGCCCCCAAAAGGCCCCAGCAGGCCTTCAAGAGGCCCCCGAGCAAGAAGCATCCCACGAGAACCCAGGAAGACTCCGACCTACAACCTAGGCGCGGTGGCGCGATGGGCCGGGGGGGGGGCCATAATAGCGAAACAGCTCGCCCCGAATTGGCCATGTCTGCCCACAGTGGCCTCCAGAACGGCTCCACACGGCCAAATTCGGTATCCAAGAGGGGTCCACTAAATATCCAAGCTCGCCGAATATGTCGCTAAGGTGTCCCAATAGAATCCCAAGACGGCCTCGAGTCGGCCAAGAGGCTTTTGTACGGCCCAAGATGCCTCTAAGAGGAGAGGTCCTGAAGTTGCCCGAACAAGTGGCTCCCCCAAGTTCATCCGCGGCTTTCGCGTTCTTGCCTTTTCGGGCTTCCGACAACCGAAGACGGCCCAAGGACCTCCAAGAGATCCCCACGACAGCACACGAAACCCCCAAGAGAACCCCTATACAGGCAGAGAAGCCTCCAAGACGTCCCAGACAGGGCTCCAAGACGAGCTCATGGAAGCGCCCGAGGGGGAGGGGGGGGAGGAGGGGCATGAGGAGGAGGAGGAGGAGGAGGAGGAGGAGAAGGAGGAGGAGGAGGGGGAGGAGGGGGAGGGGAAGGAGGAGGAGGAGGAGGAGGAGGAGGAGGAGGAGGAGCCCTATGCAGGCAGAGAGGCCTCCAAGACGTCCCAGACAGGGCTCCAAGACGAGCTTATGGAAGCGTCCGACGGGCCAAGAGAGCCCTGAGACGGCCCAAACGGCTCTCAAGATGCACACCCAGGGGGCTCCTCATGGGCCCTCTCAAGAGGCCCCCAGGCAGCCCCACAGGAAGCCCTGCGAGGCCTCCTCCTCCTCCTGCTCCTCCTCGTCCTCCTTCTCGTCCCTCTGTCTCTCCTTCAAGTGCGCCCCAAAGTGCTTCCATCACGGCTGAGGGAGCACACAGTCCGATATCATGCCCAGATTTTGACCCAACGTTTGGTCACATGAGCGCTTCCAAGACCGAGGGGGCGGCGGTGGCTCGGCGAAAGCGTCTTCGATTAGACTTGGGTCAATCAAACCCGGCGTATGTCAAGCATCGCCGCGGTGATTCTGGACGAGCTCGGCCGACCGATAACAAAGGAATATCTTCGATCATGATAGTGATAAGCGCACGTAGCACTCAGTTCGAAGCATTCGCGGACACGTTTATAATGTTTCGCTACTTGCGCTACTTGCTTTGCTAGTCTGGGGGCGTACCCAAGCTTAGAAAGATTAGCTGTGAATCTGGCGCGAACTCTCGCATACGTGTCAGATCAGAAAGAGTGCCACATTGCCCTAAGCATTCGACTGGCAAGACGTCTTCACACTCCCCCATGTTCTCTCTGTGCCAGATGATAGGGCAAGTGTCTTGCGAGGCTTCCCCATCGCGACTGATACATCATCAGCAGCTGGTTCCATGACTTGCGCCAACTGGGCACGATCGTGGCAACATTTCCCTGTCGCTTCCTGACACGAGGTCGCCACAACCTGCAATCGTAATTGCCGAGCGGTGTGGTACGTGGCGCGTAGTGTCACGCAAGCAGCCAGACCATGAGCCGAACCCGTCAAAGCTGCGACATTCCTCCTGCGCCGTGCCGCCAGACTTGATGGGTTCAGGCGTGTAAGGTGAATGATCGTGTCAAACCAACGATGTTTAAACGGTGTCTGATTTCTCGCCTTTTCGCTTCCCCCGGGCTTCTCAAACCTCAACGTGACTCCAACATCGCCCACGATGAATCCAACATGGGGCTGGAACATCTCCACGAAAGCTGCGAAGAATCACAAGAGCGTCCTGGGAAAGACACCAGCGAGCCGACAGTGCCCCAAAACGGCACACGACTGCGGAACCATCTGTGGCGGGCTCCGGGATGGAAACCCCAAAAGTGGAGCAGGTCGGCCCCAAACAATCCTCAAGATGCCCCCTGGAGGCTTCCGTCCTGAAAACAACATAGCTTTTTAGTGATTCTGGATTGCTATGAAATGTTCGTCCCTCACGCTTGCTGCAACATCGCCCAAGATAGCTCCAAGCGGAGCACAGAAGAGCTGGAAGCAGAGCGAGAAAGAGAAAGACAGAGCCGATGACCCCAGGAGCACTCCATAAGAGCTCCGGCAACGCGTCAGTCAAGATGCAGGTACGTCCAGAAAAGCAAAGAGCAGTGGGTGTCACAACCCCAGGTGGCCACAAAACCCAACGTGGTCCCACATGTCCCAGATTACCCTCTACCACAACTAAAAGGTACCCGCGAAGACCAAGAAGCTCCTGAGACACCCCCAACGAGACCCCAGACTTACCCCTGAACCCACCAGACGCTCCCCTTGCCCAGACACCACTATTCGAGCACTTGCACACTGTCGGGAGTACGTGTGCTGCGCGGTGGTCAAGAAGTCTCCGAGAGGCCTCCAAGAGATCCCAACGGGCAGCCAAGAGGCCTCTGACCTACAACCTACGCGCGGTGGCGGGATGGGCCGAAAGCCGCTTGACCTGCTCGGCATGGGGGCGGAAAGCGCGAGTACTGCGTGGGGGTGCGCGATCGCTTGCTTAGGGTCTTGGAGCCCCGTTGATGTTAAGACTTCGGTACGTCATACGACAATCTGACGCACAACCTTGCGAAAATCAATGAATCTAGCCTCTCCCTCAAAGCCTGACATACGGTACACGACAGCCTGCTGAGGGATCACGATCTCCCTCTGAATGAATTAAAAAAGGAAAAGAGAGAAGGTAAGTGGTTCCCATCCCGCCAGTAAATCCTCTCCCAACCCATCCCCTAGGCGGTGGGCGCGCCTGGTTGGGGCTCCTCTTGGGGCTCCTTCTGGGCACCCGGCCCACTTGGGGCTCTCTTGGGAGCCTCCGGGGGCCCGCTTGGGCCGTCTTGGGGTCCTCTGGGGCCGCCTGGCGGCCCTCTTGGGGCGCCTGGGGGCCCTCTTGGGGCGCCTTGGGGCCCTCTTGGGGCCGTCTGGGGACGACCTTTCTCGGGCCGTTTTGGGACGTTCTGGGCCCGAAAAGGCGAGAGCCCCCCAAAACATCAGAAGCCACTTGGAAATCAGTGACTGTTGCCTTTGTGGGCCCTCTTGGAGGCCTCCTGGGGCGTCTCGGGACCCTCTTGGGGCCCTCTTGGAAGCCTCTTTGGGCCCTCATGGGGCTCTTTTGGGGCCGTCTTGGTGTTTTTTGTGGCCCTTTCGTGGCCCTCTTGGGCGTTTTGGGGCCCTTGAGCCGTTTCACGGGAAAAAAATGGATCGGGCCGTTTATTCGACAAAAATGCGAAGGAAGTTGGCCATTCGACCTTTTTCCCTGGCCTACCCCTCTCCCCTGGAACCCCTCCCTAAAGGGCTTCGCCCCACCAAAACCTCATCACTCGTACCTCGCTCTTTCTGTTACCTGGGCCGGCACGGAAACGGAACGAGCGGTGCAGAAACTTGCCCGAGATGCCTCATGACACCCTTCGCTCCCTGGAACCTGCGCGGCCCGGGACAAAGTGTCGGAATCCCGAAGAGTTATCCCGGATGTCCCTCGAAGTGTTGTGCAACATAATGGGTTGTTGATCTGTTCCTGAAGGCGCCGTCCTGGGAAACTCGTTTCGGCGGTGCGGCCAGAGCCCCATTGATGTGTATGTCTGCAATTTTACATCGGCTTTGGAACGATTTGTAGGGACACACGGGGATAACGCTGGGTTTTCCAAACAAGTCCAAACTACAAGAAGCCTTGGTGTTGAGAGCTTGTTATTTCACCGCTCTCTGTTGGGAGCCCTGGTGTTCAGAGACTTTTATGTCACCACGATCTGTTTTTACGTCACCGCGCTCTGGGTAATTAGCCGTGGTGCTCAGAGCTTGTCATGTTACTGCTCGCTGTAGGGAGCCGTGGTGATATTTTGCGTCTCTGGGGCTTCTTAACAACTTTTCGGGGCCCTTTGGGTGCCCTCTTGGGCCGTCTTGGAGCCCTTTTGGGCGGTCCTGGGGCCCTTTTGGGCCGTCTCGGAGCGTCTTGGAGGCCTGTGGCCGTCTTGGGGCTCTCTTGGGGGCCTCTGGGGGCCCTCTTGGGAGCCTCTTGGGGCCATATTGGGGCTCTCTTGGGGCCGTCTTCGGGCCCTCTTGGGCCGTCTTGGGGCCCTCTTGGCCCGTCTTGGGGCCCTCGTGGTCCGTCTTGAGGCCGTCTTGGGTCCTCTGGGGCCGTCTTGGGACGATCCTTGGGGCCTCTTGGGCCGTCTTGGGGCCATCTGAAGCCATCTTGGAGCGCTCTTAGTCAGTCTTTGGCGTCATTGGGGCGCGTTGGGCCGTCTTGGGGCCCTCTTTTTTTTGGCCAGAGCGACCGGCCGAGGGTCGCCACGCGGGGCTGCCCTACACCAGGGGCAGGCCACCGAGAAGCGGACTGCCTCGTCTCGCAGTTTCCGTTCCGTCATCGTGCCACCTCGACGAATGCTTCCTCCTCCTCCTCCTCCTCCTGCTCCTCCTCCTCCTCCTCCTCGCATGAGCAGCGATGGGGCTTCTCTGGCCACGGCGAGCCACGGTTCCCAGACCTGGATCTGAGGAACGGTCGGCCTCTCCTGCACCAAACATCATCCTTAAATGAACCCGCTCGCTGCATACCCGCTCGAACGGCGTGCGCTGCAGCCCGCCTCGATGCAGAAAAGCAGTTGAGACTCGGCATCAACATCCGATTCAGATCACTGTGCGGGAAAAGTTGGGGAACTACAGAAACACAGCTTGGTGACCAATTGACCCCTCGAATGCACTAGCTCACTGTTGAATTTCGGATGCGCACCGTCTTGCTGAAGCATATAAAGCCGCAGGCACAATGAAATTGATCACCGAAGAGGTTGCAAGACCACCAATCTCTGAGATGGAATTGAAACCAGAACCAGTGTAGAAGGCGATGCTCAATATCCAAGGCACCACTACAGCGATAAACGTTGCCATTCCATCAGAGAGTCCTGACTGGACCAAATTGTAACGAATCAAAATGGAAAATACCGGAATCGAAGTGAAATTCTGTAGCATCGGATATGCCGTCACGGTCACTCGTCCCAGCTTCGAGCCGCCTGCATTCAACTTGCTGAACAAGTTCTCATCCGTCGTGTAGAACGGCTTGTAAGCCATGCCGCCTACGATACCAATGACAGTGTAAACCACAAGGACATATCCCATGGTCAGCGCAAAGCTGGCGAAGACCGACACCTCAGGGCGCTTCTCATTAACCCACGAAGGCAATGCACTTGTAAACGCGAAGTTGAAAAGAACGGTTCCTATCAACCCCCCCTGCATGGTAGTCATTGCCGGCAGGAGTGTGGGAAAGTCGGGCTCGGACACAAGAATCGCAACCCAGACGACACTCATGACACTCAGCCCGAGGATTGCAAGATACTGGAGAGCCACATTGTCATCTAGATTCTTCACGGCAAACGGGGCGCAAATCACACCAACGATGACCATAGCACTGGACATCACCGTCCTGTCGCCAAAAGGGGTTACAGAGTCAGTCCGAGTACCGCAGACATAGCTCAGCCCTCCACTCTCATCAAAAGTGATCCCTGGAGAACAGCCGTTGAAGTTGAGGATCAAGTAATCGATAACCTGGCCTGACTGGATGATGAGCGACATTAGCGACAATATTGAGTTCGCATGGTAACACAACATCACAAACAAGTATGTCTTGTGCGGCAAGTAAAACATTGCCACATTTGTAAACTCTATGCGCTGTTCGAAATTGCTGTTTCCTGGCATTCTCCTCATTGCCCCAAGCAACATGTAGCCGCAAGCGCATGCGACAATTGCCACAATGCCCTGTACCAGGGCAACGGAGAGCCATCCTGCTTCTTGCGCAAGCGCTGGCATGGATACAATAGTAGGCCCAGCAAGGTTATTGATAAGCAACATTACCCCTCCAAGAAAACCGATAGTCTTGGACTCCTCTGGAGCCCTGACGATAGCACGGAAGGCTTCCCGCTCAAGAGTCCAAAGCTTGCTGGACGATGTGGCGACGACAGTAGCAGCTCGTGGGGCGTTACTGAGCATAGCGTGCTCGCCGAAGACCATGCCTGGACCATACTGGCAGACCTTCACAGCGGGGCCCTCGCCATAGCGGATGAGGACATCGAAGGAACCTTCGTTGACGATGTACATGTGGGTGTTCTCCTTGCCCTGCTGTATTACCACCTCGCCATCCCTCACGGCTCTCTGCTGCATGCCATCGATGACTGCCCGTCCTAGCGCCTCCACGTGGTGACCAACGAGCATCTGCAGGGAGTCGCTGTAGGCGAAGATGGCCTGCAGTCGCTGGCTCTCTGAGCACGGCGCGACCTGTCGCGCTCCTGCTGCATCGCGCCCGTCACGAAGTGCTGCCACGGGCTGCTGCCGCAGAGCTGCTGGTGCCCCGAGGACGTCCTCGCACTCGAAGCCGTGCTGCAAGCAGTAGCTGCGGACGGCCGAGAACCGCTCGGCCCACGTGAATCGTGGCCAGGCCTCTTCGTGCTCCAGGGCTGCAGCGCTTCTGATTGAACAAGGCATCGTGAGGAGCGCAGCGCGGCACTGCTCCTGTACCTCCGGCCTGGCGCGGGCGGCGTCGACCTCGAGCGGTACCTCGCGCGGGGTTGCAAACATCGCTGCGTCCCACGCTTCGCTGCCAGGACGGCTGCTCAGCAGGGCACCCGTTGTGCCAGCATGCGCTGCACCGGCATGGCTTGCGAGTGGAACCGCAGAGAGTGCTGCTGAGCTGAGGCGCTCCTCCTCGAAAGGTGACCACGGGCAGGATGGCGCCAAGCGGCGACGGTGGCGTAGGCCGTCGGACTGTGGCGAAGAGGTCTGGGCAGCGGTCGGGTAGGCAATCCCATGGCCCGTTCCTCCAGCGAAGCTCTGCACGGCCGAGAGGCGCTCACTCCAGCTCAACTGAGCCCACCGCGGTTCCCGCTCGGCTGCAGCGCTGCGAACATCATTGGGGATCTGGTAGAGTGCCTCACGGCACCTGGCCTCGGAATCGTCACCCGCCTCGTCAAACACGTATCCGAGCCCGCCACTTCTTGTCGGGCTCGGGCTTGCGCCTGCCAGCTGCCAGGCACCCACACGGCTCTGCGGATCCAGGGTCCAGCCACTTGCCGCTCTGTCTGGTAGGCAGTATGCCTCTGCGTAGTGGTCCCTCGATGCCAGGTTTGTGGCGGCATTCAGGGACTCGACCCACCGCTCGGCAAGCGCTTCTGAGGCTGCGTAGAGCTCGTATGTGCGGGCAAAGGTGTGGACTAGAAAACCACAATCGCCCTGTTTGCCTTGTCCTCGACCTTTCAGCAACTCAGCACCCTTCAAATCATGAAATGGCACTGGCTGCGAAATATTCTTCTGAGCTTGGTCCTGGGAATAATAGAACTTCTGCGTTTTGAAGTCGACCGTGTAGTACCGTGATGTAGTGCGTTGCAGCCACTTCCACTGAGAATGATCACCTTTTACCCGCTTCAACCAAGATTTGAAGGTGCCATCACTGGAAAGCCACATTCCACTGTTTTGAATGCAACGATAACTTCGCCGCGTGGTCAGGGCCGTGAACAGTGGCTTGAGCCAAAATGGCTACGGAGGCCGTCTTGGGGCCCTCTTGGACCCCTCATGGGCCGTCTTGGGCGCTTCTTGGACGGTCTTGGGCGTCTCTGGAGTCGTCTTGGGGGTGGGGGCGAACCACTCGATGCCCCCCCCCCCTCCCCCGCGCCTCGCCCCTCTCCTGGACCCCTCCCTAGAAGGCTTCGCCCCACCACAACGTCATCACTCGTACCTCGCTCTTTCTGTTACCTGCTTGATGCGGGGACGGAAAGCGCGTGTACTTTGTGAGGGTGCAAGGTCGATGGCTTAGTGTCTTGGAGCCCTGCTGGTGGGCCTTGGTACGGCAAACACAAACTAGCAGGCAACTTTGCGAACATCAATGACTATTGCATTTCTGGGCCTTCCTGGCGGTCCTTTTGGGACTCTTTTGGGCCGTTTTGGGGCCCTCTTGGGCCGTCCTGGAGCCCTTTTGGGCCGTCTTGGGAGGCTTGGGCCGTCTTGGGCCCCTCTCGGAGCCCTCCCTCTTGGGGACCTCCTGTGGCACTCCTGTGGCTATCTCTTGGGAAACTTTTGGGACCCTCAAGGGCCCCTCTTGGGCCGTCTTGGGGCTCTGCTGGGCCGTCTTGGCGACTACTTGTGCTGCCTTGGGGCCCTCTTGGGCCGTTCTGGGGCCCTCCTGGGCCGTCTTGGCGGGCTTGGGCCGTCCTGGGGCCCTCTCGGGGCTATCTTAAGGATTTCCTGTGAACCTCTTGGGGCTCCCTTGGAAACCTTTTGGGATCCTCAGGGGCCTCTCTTGGGTTTCTTTGGGCTCTCTTCGGCCGTCTTGGAGCGCCCTTGGGCCGTCTTGGGGACCTCTTGGGCTGTCTTAGGGCACCAACGAAGCGACTGTACTGATACTTTCATGGGGGAAAGGCGCGATACTTGCTATCTGGGGTCCGTTTGGGAGCCTCTGGGAGCGTCTTCAGGGCCTCTCTGGCCGTCTTAGGGCCGCCTTGGGCTCGCTTTGAACGCTCTCGGGCCGTCTTGGGGTCCTCTTTGGACTCTCTTAGGCCATCCTGGAGGTATGTTCAACCGCCTTGGGGGCCTCTTGTGCCGCCTTGGGGGCCTCTTGTGCGTTCATGGGGCCGAATTGGGCCATATAGGGCCGAACATGGCCGAAATTTGGGTCATTAAATATGGGACGAATCCTGCCAACCCCCACGCACTTCCCCCTTGTTATTTCTCCCAACAAACGGATCGCGACGCTACGTGCGCTTTCCGTTATTTGGGGCGGGTCCTGCCAACTCCCTCACTCCCCCGTGTTATTTCTCCCAACTAACAGATCGCGACGCTGCGCGCGCTTTCTGTCATCCGCCGCCCTCTGTTGCCTACAAGAGGGACTGTTGGCATACCGCAAAATCTTGGTCGATCCAGCTGGCGACCGGGACACAACTAGGGCGAGGTACGCTCCATCGGCCTTTCCCGCCCAAGATGGTCCCAAGAGGGCCTCCAAGATGACCAATCTTACATCCAAAATGTTCCCACGATGCCTCCACGACTGCCAACATGGCCCCATGAGGGCCCTATATGCCACCAATACTGCCCAATATGACTCCAAGACGGCCCAATATGCCCTGCAGACAAGCCCCTAAGACGCCCCGCTAAAGCTCCAGTCTGATCTCCAAGAAGCCATCACCATGGACGACCCGCAATTTTTTTCAATAGTTATCGCGTTCTCGCCTTTTCGGACTTCCGACAACCGAAGACGGCCCCATATGCATCCACGATAGCCCCAAAACGACCATATGAGCTCCCAAGAGGGCCCCAAGACGGGCCAGAGAGGCCCCCAAGACGACCTTCGAGGCCCCTAATCAGCCCCAGGAGGCTCCCGAGAGAGGCCACGATTCCCCCAGGAAGCCCCCAGGAGGCTCCTCGAGGGCCCCAAGAAGCCTCCTCCTCCTGGTCCTCCTCCTCCTCCTCCTCCTTCTTCTGCTCCTTCTTTTGCTTCTCCTCCTCCCTCTCTCCCTTTCCTGCGTCTCCCCCCAAGGATTTCCACACTGGCTGGGGAACACACAGCCTAATGGCTTGGCCAAGCTTTGGCCCAACACCTGGCCCCATTCGCATTTCCAGAACGGCCTGGGGCGGCACTGATCCGCTCTATGCGCCTTCGATGCTGGACTAACTGTTGTTTTGACATGGGGGTCCCAGCATCGATGTCGCGACCAACGCTCTACACTGGGTGAACCTGTTCAAGATTGCATCACCGGCTTGGCAGATCGGCCCGTGGGAGCTCCGATCGGCGGGCAAGGCTCCACTGAGCTTGACGCTGCACGGTCGCTGTCCGATTGAAGATGCTGTTCCAGGTCAGGGACTCCGAGGGTCAAGAGCACCTCAGGAGACCACCTGGCTGCGCCGAGAGGTTCTCGGCTGCAGGCGAGGCAAGCCGTGCGAGAGGCGAGGGAGGGCACGCTGGACGGGAAATCGAAAAGATGGTGTCGTTGGGTTTCCTGTGTGTGCGTGTGTGCGTGTGTACGTGCGTGTGTACGTGCGCGTGTGTGTGTGTGTGTGTGTGTGTGTGTGTGTGTATGTGTGTGTGTGTGTGTGTGTGCGTGAGTGTCTGTGTGTGTGTGTGTGCGTGTGTCTGTGTGTGTACGTGTGTATGTGTGTGTGTGTGTGTATGTGTGTGCGTGTCTGTGTGTGTGTGTGTGTGCGTGTGCGTGCGTGCGTGCGTGCGTGCGTGTGCGTGCAAGCATTGCAGCATCGTTAGAAACTGCTGCCGGAGCCCCAAGTCCCGTCTCTCTGCGCCATTGCTCGAGCCGGATCGATCTGTGAGGGGCAGGGGGCCCGAGGCCGGGCGTGTCAGCGCACGGCTCGCAAGAATGGGGCGCCAGGCTCTCAGAGGAAGGGGAGGAGCGTGGGGAGGCAGGGCCAGGAGGGGCAGAGGGAAGAGGAGGAAGAAAGGGACCAGAGTAGACCCAAGACTCATCGGCGATACTGCAGTACACCCTCCCTCCAAGTTCCCCATTCATAGGCTCCTCTGACGATTCGTTCTCACTGAGGGAGCTGCCCTATTGGAACACAACCGATGGAACACCTCTTGTAATCAACGTTGTGCCAGCCAAGCAGAAACAATCCTTCAAGCCGCTGTATAGAAGTCTCGAAACAGTGTCACATGTCGAGAAGGAGCCGCCCCCTATCCGTGAAGTCTTTTCTCCCTGCCCAATAAGTCAAGAGTGGCGAGTGCGCGCGGCCGCGACGCGGAGGCGCGAGCCACCGTCTTGAGGACGGACCGCCCTCCGCCCCTGAAGCTCGTGCAGCTCTCTGGAGCGAGGGTGCGCGGCGCCGAGGCGAGGGCCACACCTTGAGCACCAGCCGCCCTCCATCCGTGCGACGGTCGCAGCCTTTCCACACTTCGGGTGCCCAGGATTGCTACGGAAGTCGCGGGCGAAAGCCCTCTCGACCAGCCTCGGGGTGTGAGAGTCGGGACGAGGAGGAGGATAGGAGGAGGAGGACAGGAGGACAGGCGGAGGAGGAGGAGGACGAGGATAAAAAAAACGAGGAGGATGATACACGAGGAGGAAGAGGAGGAGGATACACGAGGAGGAGGAGGAGGAGGATAGCGAGCATAGCAACTCACACGGAAAAAAAACACGGGGCGGAAGAGCCACGCCGCGCCGCGCCTGCGTCGGGCCCGGGCTGCCGCCTGCGGCCGCCCCCGCCATGGCCCGCGCCGCCCCGCGGGGCCGCGCGCCCTCCATGGCTCTCCTCGGCGCCCGAGGCGCGCGCGCGCACGGAGGAGGAGGGAGGAGGAGGAGGGAGGAGGAAGGAGGAGGAGGAGGAGGAAGGAGGAGGAGGAGGAGGAGGAAGGAGGAGGAGGGAGGAGGAGGGAGGAGGAGGAGGAGGAGGCGGAGGCTGGTGCTCGGCGCCCCCGCAGCCACTCCTCCTCCTCCTCCTCCCTCCGTGCTCCCCTCCTGGAGATCCCCCTCGTCTCCTCCCTGTTCCTCGCCTCCTCCTGCCCCCGTGCCCTCCTGGCTCTCCTCCACCTTCTTTTCTTCCGCCTTCTTTTTCTCCTCCATCTCCTCCTCCATATCCTCCTGCCCCTCTTGCTTCACCTCCTCCTTCCGCACCGTCTCTTCCTCCATTTCCTCCATCTCCTCCTCCTGCTCCATCTCCTTCTCCTCCATGTCCTTCACCTCCTCCGCCGCCTACTCCTCCTGATCCATCTCCTCTTCCATTTCCTCCATTTCGTCCATTCTCCTCCTCCATCCCTTTTCCTTATGAATAACTCTTTCCTGTCGCACCTCCGTACGTGTTGGTAGGGCGGGCCGGGCGTTTCGCCTGAGACGTCCTCACTATACTCTCACTATTTCTGATCATAAAGCTTGAAATTAACAACCGTTTCATGGAACGACGGCAACCACGATCCGGGCCAAATTGCATCAAATTCGTCTCCCCGAAGAAGCAAGCGATCGCATTTGAATTCCGGAAGATTTAGCAAATTGCGCTACAACCGTTCCCCCAAGGCTACGGTCCCAAGAACATGTTCAAGATTTGCGCTCGCGGAGCAACGATCCGTGTGAACATGGCGCCAGCTTCGCGCCCCCGACGCCACTATCATTCGCAATTTGCGTCAGGCACGGGCACCCGACGCCACGAACCGTCGTAAATCATGCCCGTTTCGCGCCCCCGAGACCATTATCCCTCGTACAAAATCAGTGTCAGCCAGCGTAAACCCCAAACAGTGTGGTTCTAGCAATACATGTGTGCTACTTATGTGGGGCTATCTATACGGTGAAATCGATGAGGAGCAATCTAGGTGGTGCAATCAATGCTGCGCAATTGTGCAATCTTTGTTGTGCAATCGACGATTGGAGATGTATGTTGTGCAATGGATGTGGTGCAATGTATGTGGCTCAATCTATGTGGTACAATAGATGTGGAGCAATGTATGTGGTGCAATCTCGCGCACTATACGTGCTGCAATATATGCTGTGCAATTTTTGTTGTGCATCCGATTGTGTCATCTACTGTTGTGCAGTCTAATGTGGTGCAGCCTATGTTGTGAAATATTTTATTTTGTTCAGTCCAATGTGGTGCAGTACAAGTGGTGCCCTTTCAGGAATGTAATCTACGTGGGGCAATCTATGTTGTGCAAATAATGTTTACCCATGATGTGACACACCTCATGCTCTTGCAAACATTCCACCCACCCACCCGCAACTTGGTTTGCAAAACCTCTTAAGACCGTGACAGTGAGTTCCAAATGGCACTTGGCAACGACACCGGCGCCGACGACGACGACGACAACGCCGACGAAGACTACGACGACACCGACGACGTCCCCGACGACTTCGACGACGACGACGACGACAACGACAACGACGACGACGACGACACCGACGACGACGACAACGACGCCGACGCAGACGACAGCGTCGACGACGATGACGACGCCGACGACGACGACGCCGACGACGACGACGCCGACGACGACGACGACGTCAACGACGCCGACGGCGGCGACGACGACGACGCCGACGTCAACGACGCCGACGACGCCGACGCCGACGCCGACGCCGACGACGACGTCGCCAACGAAGACGACGACGACGAGCGAGGAGGGAGCACGACGACGGCGACAACGACGACAACGACGAGGGAGGAGGGAGGACGGCGCCGACGCGAACGACGAAGAAGGAGGGAGGACGGCGACGCCGACGACGACAACGACGAGGGAGGAGGGAAGACGACGACAACGACGACGACGACGACGACGGCGACGAAATAGGAGGGACGACGACGAGACGCCGACGACGGACGACGACGACGACGAGGGAGGAGGAGGAAGGACGACCACGGCGACAAAGACGACGGAAACGACCACGACGCCAAAGAGGAGGACGACGACGAACACGAGGAAAAGACAGAGGACGACGTAGGCGACGACGACGACGACGCGGGAGGAGGAAGGACGGCGACGACGACGACGACGCAAGAACGCGCGCGCACGCTTTTGTTGAAAATCCGTGTTGCGAAACCTTATGTTTTTGTAAGTTTTTTGGACCCTCGATTTTGAAATCCTTCCGAAACCGATGGGTTTTGAAGGATTTCGGCATGCGCGCGCGACGACGCGCGCGTCTCCACTTCGTCCCAATTTTTGCAGAGGATTCTCGCGACGGCACACGCGCAAGGGCGTTCGACAGATTTCGACATGCGCGCGCGCGCGAAGCCCGTTTGGTAGCATTGTGCGAACATCTGGAAAAACCAATGATTCTCTTCAGATTTCGCAAGAAATCGCGCGTAAGCTTTTTTAGCAAATTTGTGTTGCGAAACCCTGTGTTTTTGCATGTTTTTGGAAACTCGACTACGCAATCCTTCCGACACCGATTTCGGCATGCGCGCGCGACGACGCGCGCGTGTGCACTTCGTCCCGTTTTTTGCATGGGATTCGTGAACAAGTCTTATGTTAGAGCGAAAAATGTCCCCGCGTATTGTTTTTTACACGAGAACCTCAGGGGGAGCGATGCCGGTTCCCGTGGGATAATGGAAATTCATTGTTAAGATGGACATGTGGTCATAATCATACATGATTTACATACCCGAACGGGGGGCCGATAACGCCGGGGGGGGGTGAGTCTATTCTCTTTTTAGAAAGGGGCATCCATGTAGGTTCTGAGCCGCAAAAAGCGTGCCACAAGATTGACCGCAAATCGTGCAGTCAACGTGCTGCAATTTATGTGGGGCAATCCATGTGGTGCAATCTATCTGGTGCAACTAATTTCTGTTCGCAGTGAATTGTCCACTCCACTGCTCGCGCAAACATCCCACCCACCCACCCGCAACTTGGTTTGCAAAATCTCTTAAGACCGTGACGGTGGGTACCACATGGCACTTGGCAACAACAGCGACGCCGACGACGACAGCGACAACGACGATGACGACGCCGCCGACAACGACTACGACGACACCGACGACGTCTCCAACGACTTCGACGACGCCGACAACGACGACGACGACCACACCGACGACGACGACGACGACGACACCGATGCCGACGACGACGACGATGACAACGACAACGACGATGACGACGCCGACGACGACGATAACGACGACACCGACGACGACGACGACGAACGACGACGGCGACGACGACGAAGCCGACGACGAAAACGAAGACGACGACGACGCCGACGACGCCGACGACGACGACGACGACGCCGACGACGACGACGTCACCAACGAAGACGACGACGACAAGGGAGCAGGGAGGACGACGACGGCGACAACGACGACAACGACGAGGGAGGAGGGAGGACGGCGACGACGCGAACGACGAAGAAGGATGGAGAACGGCGACGCCGACGACGACAACGACGAGGGAGGATGGAAGACGACGACGA